CTCCAATATATGTCAAAATAAGTAAAAATTAGCCCCTACTACTTTCTCACCAGCTCTTGCTATACTAAAGCAAACAGGAAATGCTCTTCTAGTTCTGAAATTTGCTTTTGAAATTAAAGTCACAGAAAGAAAGAAAAAGAAAATAAAACAAACAGAGCATTTTTCACCTGATAGTGACAAAAAAAAATAAACAGGATTTTATATGCTACAAACATGTAAATAAATATTAAAGCTTTTCCACATTTAAACTGCATTTGGAATATCTTAAGCCATTAGTTAAAATGACAGAAGAATACAGCTACCTGAAGCCTATGTAAAGAATCTCTCTTTAACAGGCTTTTAAAGATTGCAAGCCAGAGCATCTAAAAAGCACATCCCTGAATAATTTAAGGCTCCTGGCATCTACGTTGAAAGAGCTCCTTTTCTAAACCTGGAGGAAAAATAACAGAGGTAAGAGAAAGAATAAAGGTCATGAAAGATCAGCGACAAAATCACTACTAAAAAAGTATTTTTCCTACCTTAAAGTTTAATCAGACATGGAGGAGCAGGGATTTTATAGCCAGCCCTTCCCATTTACTGTCAACAGCTGTGGTCTAACATTAACATTTACCCCTTGGCAGTGTTAAGTTAAGGCTGCGATGGTCAGGGAAACAATACAGGAATAAAATGAAAGAGAAGGAAGGAAACCGATCAAGAAGGTGAAGCACAGCACAAATCCTCATTAGCTGAAATTCAATAACAGATAAAAAGCAAAAAGCTAGTGTTTATCGTGAGTTTTAAATGAGTAACCTACATTTTAGGGCAAAAGAATAAAGAGAGAAAAAAAAACAAAACTCTGGAAGAACAGACCAATGTAAATACATACTATTAAAATAAACCAAAACACAATCATGCTATTAAGACACCAGGCAATCTGGTTTGGGGCAGAGTAATACCCATTTATAGCCAATTGTATCAAGGTCAAATTACAAATCAGTGTACTGTTGACAATATCAACTTTTCTCTGCCAACTACATCCTTTAAACATCAGCAAATCCTACCTACTTCCTCTTGTGTCTGTCATAGAAACCATCCAAACAATGGGAGCAAGCAATCTTCACCTCAACACCTATTGACTTCAAGCAAACTGAACGCTTTATTCATTTTTACCCCTAGATTGTTACATCCTTGCTGTTCTACAGTATCTGAAAGCCTTGCTACCGATTACAAGCAGTTCAGGATCTGGCTCCTCCTCAGTATATGAAAATGGACTTGAAACAATAGGAAACCTTATCTGAGGAAGTTAACACGGGCCACCCTTCTCAACACATGAATACTGACTTTATACGGACAGAATAACAGCTTAACTAAGTCTTATGAATTAGGTAAGAATTTGGAAGAAGTGTCACATACGGAATCCTGATTTAAAATAAGAAGCATTCACCTTCTTGGAGAAACAGATTTTGCATACTTTACACAACTTTTCATGTGATTGCTAAAAGAACAGTCATGAGGAAGCCACTTGAATATATAGCAAGCAGGTCAGCTGAAGTGTAGAAGCAGATTCAGAATGGCACAAAACCAACCTGCCCAACAGAGAATTTCCAAGTAAATGCCTGTAAAAGTGATTCCTCCCTCTTTTTGTGGAATTTTTATTTCTTACAAGAATGGAAATGAAAAAGTAAGAAAATGAGACCATTTAATATGCAATTGTGATATTTTTCCAGTATAATTGCAAGCCGAAAAAAATCTTTTGATACACATTTTCCCCCCCTTAGAACTCAAGAATTTCAGCTGCTGCAGAAAGCAGAAGGCTATGAGAAACTAAACTGTGATTTGTTTTTCAAGTTTCATCTGAACAGGCTAGTTGTTATCTACTCTTCATTCTGCTCACTCTGAACTAAACTACAATAAGGTTCTCTGTGATAGCTATTCAAAGTTAATAAAATATTTAATAAAAAAGTAATACAAGATGGACAAGATGGGGCTTTGGACTCTGTGACAAAAATTGAAAGCTTTCGAAGTGCAGACATTTTTAAGATTATTATGGTAGGAAGGATCTCTTTCCGAAAGACATAATGGAGTAAAAAAATTAAACTTTAAACAGGTAAACTGAAGTTTAAAGCATTAAGGGGAAGCTTGACATGCTAGATCCTTAGCTAGTAGAAATATACGTAATTTCAGTAACGTCAATAAGATCACATGAAGTTATGCTAGCTGTTGATCTCACTCACAGTATCTAAAGCCCACACCTAACTATAAATATATATATTGTTTGCTTTTTGAAAACTGAAGTTTAATAGCAACTCATAATTGAAATATTCATGGTCCCAAGCTAGCTTTGAAGTTAAATCCCTAAGAGGATAAAGTGGACTGTATATCTAATCTAAACTAAATGTTTCCCTTAGTTACTAATACCAGTGCAGTTTCACTAGTTAAAATCATTATTACAGAAAAGAAACGCAAAACTCATGGCACTTTAAGGGGCATTTAATCCCACTCAGCACTAGGACACAGCACATGGTCTTGGCAGTATCAGTTCCCCCGCTACCTTCCACATCTTTGCTTCAAGAGTTGACTAAGGTGGTGATTTCTAGGCAAGAAAGTTTAAACCATAGCCTTCCAGCACTGTTACCGAAGTTTCTTACAACTCCTGTCAGTGTTACAAGTTTCAAGACCATAAATCTACCTCTGGTTTAAAGCCCAATTCTCAAGCATTGAAGCTAGAAATAAAATGTCACTAATTTTTGTACCTGGAGTGCAGACTGTAACTGTTTCAGTGGAGTACTTCAGTTTTCTTTACATATTCGGCATATCACACACACACACCCCTACCTATATACAACTCCATAAATGAAATTTGTACAGCAAACTACAGTTTGGTTGCCTCTGAACTAAAGTGGCTGTGACCTCCTTCACTGGTTTACACTTCTGTCCTTCACCATTTTTGGCTCAATTAAGTGTATTAAACGCTGAACCTATGAAAGCTTGCCCATCCTCTCCCATGTTTTAAAAAAATAAAAATAATTAAAAAAAAAAAAGGCCAAGTGCCAAGTGCTGCTGCCAGTAAGAGGGTGAGTACTGTACAGACTTATAGATTATATATAGTAAGTCATTATAACAGAGTTTGAAGGCAGGTTTAGATCCTAGAGAAAACAGTCCCAGTTGTGCTACTTTTGCAGTATTTAATTTCCCCATAGCTTTGGTTATGTTGATCTCCATTCCTGTTTTGCAGAGCCCACAGCTACATACATTATATCCAAGTATATGTCTGAAACTCCATAACCTTTGCCAGAGTAACTCTCCAGGAAGCTCTCCTGACCTTTACTTAAGATAAAGAAACCAACTGAAATGAAGAAATAAATGTTCCTTTGATAATACTGTGTAAGCTGTGGCTAAGGAACTTTGAAATACAACAGCATTAATAAAATAGCCATATTAGGAGAACTTCTTTATCACCAAAAGCAGTGACCAGCTTCAATGGGGCTTTTCATTCACAGTTCACAAATTATTTTCCAAGAATCACTGCCTTGTTGTGTAATGGTAATTGTGGGTTAACAGAAGCCCTAACTGAACTTTGTACTCTTACAAAAAGGATGTATGCATACATGCCCGTATTTGGACACAGCTCCATATGTAGGGTAACGAATCTGATTTTCAACTTACAGAATAGTTTTGGCTTTCATATTGTGATGTAATAAAAAACAAGTATTTGAAGCCAGAGGTAAAAAAGAAAAAAAAACCTGTTACAAAGGACAACTTTAAAAGTGACCATGACTGTTGGTTGGTATATATACAGGAACTTCTAGAGAAAAACAAAAATAAATTGTTGCTGTGCAGGTCTACTATGAGAGTCCGGGGGACGAAAAAAACTTCCCCCCCTCCAAAAAATGTTATGAATACTCTCAATAAATTCTTGTTCAACAGTTTCTAAATAACTGGAAAAAACCGTCTAAAATATTTATAAGAAAACTCAACAAGTGTGAATTTGGTTTTTGGGTTAAAGACTATTTTAATGCAATTCTTCCTAATCTCTCTAATTTTAATCTGAACATTTCAGTACATGAATGCTGTATTTAACAGCTGTCTGGTTTAGTGAACTGCAGTAATTCATTCTGATAGGATAAATTATTTAAGTTATTTAGCAAAATGGAAAAGCTACCATGCGCTCTGCTGCAATCAGCAGACAGTTTCGAAGAAACCTCTGATGATGGAGAGACGCCTTGCCACGAGGAAGAAAGATGCATAAAGAAGCTGCAAGAAGTCTGTGACTTTGTTAGATAATGCTTCTCATGTCATTTCTTTACTACGCCGTTGCAACCACCCAAAACCACAGAACAGCAGGTACAGTGAAGGGGAGCCAGCATTTAACAGAATAGTAGCACTTTAGCAGGTAAAGGCAAGATTTGAGGAGTACAGGCTAAAAAAAAAATAAGTTTGGGCCCATGTTAAGTAAAGTAGCAAACAATGCAAAGCATCCAGCTTAACTCCTGCTTCCTCCCATTAATTCAAAGGGAAATTTTGTTTGAGCAACATAATACCACATGCTAAGACAACTTAAAATGTTTCAGCAGTGGCTGTATTTGATTGATTATGTGGATAATTTTATTTATTTATTTATACACAAAACATACTGAGCAGCCCAATTTCTGCTCAGCAGAGCTGTCTCCTATGTTGCGCAGAGTCTGATCCATACTGGCTCAACACACTCCTCTCCTCGCTCTACAGACAGAGAAACTCCCTCCACCTCCACAATGTTTTTCCTTGCCTCCCTGGGGCTAGAGGGTGGGAATTACAGGAGAGGGACCCCAGCTAAAGGTTATACCTTCAGCCCAAACCACTTCTTTTGGCTGCACATCAGAATGCCACTTGCTTTATCTATTCATCGCACTGATGTCACCGACCAGCAAAAGGAGCTATCACATGATGGCAGATGACACAATAAATAACAAATATGAAGACCCAAATATAAATATACAAATACGTATTTTTAAGAAAGTGATGATTCATACTATACTTACAACTTTCAGCCTGATAGTCTGGCACAAACTGCTCGTCATTGTCAGGTACCTGAGCTGAAGAAAGGAAAACAAAAACAAAAAACAAACAAACAAAAAACAAAAACAAGGAAAGCATTAAAAGAAGCCGTTAAAGCATAAATAAAGACTCTTGTGCTTAATTTGAAGCACAGCCAAGATTAAAACTAGGTGTTTTTTTCTCATTGTTGAGTATGAAAGTCAGGCAAGCGCATCATTTTAATATCCGATAAACCCTGGAGTGAAGTTGTGCGGTGCAGTGCGAGTCCAGAGCAGCCCCCGTACAGAGCAATGGGGATGGGAGGACGTGAAGGCTGACACTGGCACTGGCCCTGCCTCACTCTCTTCATGAGGGTCTGGACCTACCATGCCCCTGGTAAAACCCATCAGTGCTCATTTTCAAAGTATCTGCACAGAAAGTCTGCATAAAACCAAATCCTACTGTTTAACACTTAGGCATCTTTAACCCCAACCTACCACACCTTCGGCTTACTTAAAAGCAATTCTGATTTTTCATGGCAGTTAGCCAACATAGTGGAGGGGGTTGTTATTGTTTTAAGTACTCAAAAAGAACTATTTTACTAGACCACAGAGTTCCTGGTTCAATGACAACATTTCAGACATCAAAAAAATAAAAGATTTACTTAAAGCAAGAATCATTATTAACATCCTTTCACCCTGTGTAAAATCATCTTTGCTTTTAGGAAACTTTCATCACAAACCTGCGCTATAAAATACAATCATTTCACGGTCTGCTGATACATAATTTTGCATCTGTGGTACCACAATTCCTTTTCATTGTATATCTAAGATATTAGCCATCTCTCATACTGTGTTGTAAACTCATTTAAACCATTTAAGCTGAAATACCACTGAATGTATATTATAGCTGATACATTCGAGTAACTGCAGAATATTACGCTGAGGAGCAGCATCCTTGGAGCACGACTGGTTCTGGGTACGTGCCGAGAGATATCCAGCTTATTAAACTTTGTCATCTTTTCCTCAACACACGCTAACTGGAATCATCACAGCAAACCTACATAGAATTGTCTGTTTGAAAATATTTTCATTTGCACGGTTCTTGTCTAAAGACAAGCAAGTAATTCATATGATCTTAATTAAAAGTTAACATCTGCCATGATCTGGTTACCCAACAAGGTTTGAGAGGTAAATACTGGTTATATAACCATTTATCAAAACTGTGACTACCAAACCATTAAATACGTTAAATAATAAAATATAACTTTAATGCCCTTCGGAACACTTCCTAGTTTAGGAAGCATATGTTTCCCTTTATATATGTGCAATTGCTACCAGTTTTGACATCATTTGTTTGAATTAAAAATACATATTTAATTATAGTTACTCACAATTATTTTGAATGTGCACTACAGTACTCTTCATGGACCAGATCTCCACTCCTTACACAGGAAATATTTCTAATTATTTAACTGGGAGCTTTTTTCCCTGGGTAAAGAGTTCAGAATCAGGCTCATCATACCAAAAAATTATTTGCTCTTGGTTTTAAAATAAATGTTTAAAGTCCTACTGTCTTAATTGCAGCAATACCTCTCAAGAACAAATGACCTTGGGAAATCTGCAAACACAGATTTGAAAAAAAGTGTGAGTAAGATAAATACACAAAGTGTAATTAGCATTACTCTGAAAAAAAGCATCGCTATTGTTGCTTTGTTGTTTGGGTTTTTCAATTAGAAAAAAAAATTACAGTAACCTATCCTTTTAGAAGAAACCAGGACCTCTGAGGACATTAGCTCCTCAAGTTTGAAGCTGTATAAAACACATGTTTTACGAACCCAAATATTCCCAGTATTTTTGATGCATTAAATTCCTCTTTCCTCCAGAGAAACCACAGGACTTTTACCAAAAATGAACTCAAGGGACAACATGAGCCCAAATACTAACACTCTGCAATTTCTGACATTTCACGCAATTCACCGCATGCGAATGTTAGGCATTTTCCTTACAAAAATGCCAAATATTTGACTGTCACAGAAGAATCCAATTATGAAATCAAGGTCTCCTGCTTAAAAATCAGTTCCTAAGGATATCTTACATTTCCAATTGTTTTTGAAGGGTTTGTGAGTACATTCAGAGTTAAAGTAATTGTATCAAGTAATTTCTTGTTTACAGAAGACACATCCCACACATTTCTCTTAAGCCAGCTATTATTTTCAAATGCAGCAAGGAGGCTAGTATGACTCTAATTTTTTTATACACACACACACATGCATTTTATATATACATATATATATATGTTAATTTGTGAATCTGGGATATGTGAAAAAAGCTAAAAGAAAACAAAAATCCTCCTGTTAAAATCAGGAGGCTACATTTAGTGATTGCAGAACTGGAACAGCAATCTTACACAACTTTTTAGAGCGTACTCTGCACACTGGCCTGCTCTACCGGTGCTTTATTCAGGTTTTATCAGTTTAACTTGACTTACTCCAGAACAAATCTGTGGTAGAGATTTATGTATATATCAATAAATAAAGCCCTTCTTTTCCCAGCCAAAGAGTAAGAAAAAATAAAATACATCTGGTTGAACTGTCACGGAAAACCAGTATATTACTTTAGAGATACTGTCATTACCCCTGATTTCGTCTGGAGTAAACAAGAAAAATGTACTTAATTCACGGATCCCCAAAATTTATAAAGGTTTATTTAATAAAGATCAAAGCACATCACTTCATCAGTACTCTAGAAATAGGTAGAGACTAGGCTGTCAAAATGTATTTTAAATACAATATTGACATAGCCTTAAAAGCCTCTGTAGGAAAAGGAATACAGCAAGTTAATAAGTGTTTAAAACCTTGCCAAATATAAACAAAACAAATAACAACATCCAAAACGTTCAACCCAGGAACATGCATTTCCTACTGGAATCTAATTTTAGTAGCATCAGTACCTTAGAAACGAGCCCACAAGCCTATACAAAGAAATTAAAAGGACCTGCTAACTGTTGGAAATGAGAACTTAAATTATTCCTTCATTTAATCTGATATAATTTTTAAACTAGCAGAACTGAAACTCACACATGATCATACTGCAGAAATGCAAGCAACCATCATCAGCCCAGTCCATGCTGGTGGACCTCTTCCACCAGCATCTTGCCGTGAGAGGGCAAATCATTGCGATACATCATCCCATTACTCAAAGGGATGAGGGCTTTTGTACCTTGAGTTTGGATAATTACGGGCAGACTTTGTAGCAAATTAAACAGGCAGATAAAGACACTTCAACCTGAATGTCCAAAAGGAAAATGCAACTCGCAGTGTTGCAACTGTCTGCACATTTATATATGTATGCCGTTCATTTCCTCTTTTCTTTTATTCACAAATACTGCAATTCAGCAAGGCTGCCATAAAATCTTCATTGGTCTTCTGTTAACATACTCAACACAAGACACAATGCATAAATCACCAAAACTTTTTTTTTTCCCTTTGCCAGTCAGAGGAAAATTGAAAAAGATATCTGAAATGATCATCTAACTGAATATTTCCCTGAGCTACTTAATTATGGGGGTTTGAGAAGGCAAGTATATTCCAAAAGACTAATAAAAGGTTTTGAAGGATATTAAGCACGTGGCTTTTACTGCTAATAGCAGAAGCAGCTACATTAGTTCATTCCACATTCAGAGCCATCAAGTCTCAGACTCCTGAAGCAGACAACATCTGCAGCATGAACTATGCAGCTCAGCCTAGATTATTACCAAAAGTTTTCTTTTTCTTCTGATTATAGCTATAATGTCTCAAGAGGCTTTGGGAAGTGTACAGAAATGTTAATGATGATCTTGAGGATGTTATCAGTTTAGATTTTAGCTTCACTACCTACTGAGTTAAAATCAGTTTGCCAAAAGCAAACATTCACAGCACAAAAATACTTAATACTTGTTTGTAGTTTTTAGAGCTTTAAAAAGCCTTTGAAAAGCTGAACTGACAGCTCATTTTGCAAAGGGAAAGCAATCTGGGGAAAAAAAAAAAGTTTAAAACTAGGGCCTGTTAGCTTGCTTTCATCACAAGTAAACAAAAATAAAAAGTCTCCATTAACAACCGTCCAGGACAAAAGGAGTTAATATTTAATTAAAACCAGCTCTATCCACTGTAACAATGACCTGGAGCCAAACAAGGCAGAAGATGTATGAGTCATTCTTTCTGCCAGTGAATGAGACAGCTGATCTCCGAAGCAATTCCTCAAGACAAGCAGTCAGAACTGGAGTTCTGCCTCCATTCACAAAAACACAGTCCAGCATGAACCATGTGGCCCCAACCACAAGCTTTTCATGTCACACCCTTCCAGAAAGCTACAGCAAAGTAAACTTGAACTTTAGGCATAAACACACTGATTTCACTGCTTTGTCTCAAGATGCAGCACAGACCTGCTAAGGAACATTACTTAATAAATGAAAAGTTAAGCGAACTATAAAGGGCTTAAATTTAACTCTTCCTTCTCCCAATCACGAACTGCTTCCACAAGCTCAGCTGCACTCCAGGGAAAGGTGTTCCTGTTAAAAAACGGAAACTTTCCAGAAAAACAAGAAGCTGCAAACCTCCTCGCTTCACTTAAAACTTTATTTTGGGTAGCAGAACACTTCCTGCGGTACTGTGTTCTCTGACCTCACACTTCACTTTTAGAGCTAAGAGCAATTTGTTTTAAAATATCAATCATCTATTCAAAGTGGCAAAAGAAATTGAAATTGACAGGATATTATATATGAACAGTAACATTTTGGCTTCAGCTAAAATAAGACTTCAAACCTCAACAGGAATGAGTCTATTGAGTTTTCTTTGATTCATTGTCACTTCAGAATATCTTTTAAGATTGGATAAATTGTGTATTCCTATAAAGAGCTGGGGGGGGGGGGGGGGGTGTGGGGTTTTTTTTT